AATTGAATTGAATATTATTTGCTGATTAGTCTCTAATTATGTGTCATGTCTATCAAAAGTGCAACACGTTTTTCACAGGACTCTATGCAGTCTGTTTCCACACTAATTAAGAAGGTAAAGTAGCAACCAGGTGCTGGTAATCACCTTTAGATGATCAGAAGTTTCTGATATGTAATAATTATGTGTGTGTGTTTTATCACAGTGCCCAGGAGGAAAGACAAAAGCAATGAATCCTGGTAGAGTTATAAGGCCCTTTCGATAAAAAAAAAGCAGATAAATAAATAAAATGAAGACATCTTTCATTCTACAGTGAGGAAGATTATTCACAAGTGGAAAACATTCAAGACAGCTGCAAATCTTCCCAGGAGTGGACACCAAGGCAAACTCACCTCGAGGTCAGACTGTGCAACGCTCAGAGAAATTGCAAAGAAAAAAACCACTACATCTCTCGCTCTACAGACCTCAGATTCAGAGGGCCAGGAGTCAGATTGCTAGTGGCTGTAAGGCTATTTTTCTCAAAGTTTTATGTCTTGATGATGACCAGAAAGTTTAATTGTCACATTAATCGATAAAATGCAGCTCGATTACTGAAGCTGTGCAGAAACTGGCAAACAAACAGATAGATGAAGACGCCTTGTACAGAATATGAAGTAAGCAGGAGTGCTGGGTATCTTACCTGTGGAAAAACCTGTCTTCTTGTGACACTTAGTAAATTCAATGTTAAAGTAAGTGACCAGTGCGTGGATGTAGTCATTCCTCTGGATCTGCAGGCAAAAAGATGATGTGAAGGACAGGTCCTCAGGTTTTACTGTGTAGATGTCCACTTCCTGTAAAAGCAAAAAATAATTTTTTTACATAAACAAATGACAAGTTTCTTATGTGAGTCATTACATTAAGTTCTCCCTTTCACTGTGATTCAAAGAAAAGTCTCAGAAGTGTGCTTTTAGAAATATAGTATATAGTATATGAATTCTTTAATAGAGCGCTTTGCTCTTACCTTTTATTTATTCACACAACAAGAAATTAAACCAGTTTTAAAAGGCTGTAAAAGATAAATCTGCAATACATCGAGGACAAAAGACCAACATTAAGATGGAGCCTACAGTAAAGCTTCCACTTGGGTGGCTGTAGCTCAGGAGGTAGAGCAGGTCACCTACTGATCAGAAAGTCGGTGGTTGTGGCTCCAGTCTGCATGTCAAGTATCCTTGGGCAAGATACTAACCCCAACTTGCTCTCCGATGAATCCGTATGAATGTCGTTAGAAAGCACTAAGTGTAGATAAAGTGCTTGTGTAATTGGGTGAATGAGGCATGTTGTATAGAGCACTTTGAGTACTTCGTGAGAGTAGAAAAGCGCTATATAAGAATCAGTCCATTTACCCCCACAAGTAGAAGCCAGCAGTGTTGGGGAGTAACGGAATACATGTACCGCC